TCCTTTTGCTGGAGAGATGTTGTGAAAACTATTCGTAGGCGTAGAACTGACAAAATGAGTTTCATTTCTTTTGTTAAAAAGTGATACTTTGGTAGTTTAAATTCGGACCATCGGATTCAAAATTTCATGGATGCAGAAATTGTTTAATCTAAATCTTCAGCGATGACTTAGTTTAATTCGAGCTGGATTCAGAAAATATTGCAGTTGAAGAAGTGTTTGTTGCGCTCGTGACGCTTTTTTCTGTCAGTTTTACTGATTAAATTGGCAATAAAAATCTGATTTTGAAGGTAGTTCACACCAACTGTTTCCGGAATATCTTCCAGCTTTCATATTCAGTAAAATATTTCAATTTTCGTATATATATATATATATATATTCTAAGTGTGCTGCCAGAATCTTAGGGAGTATAGATGGAAATAACAATATCTCCAGGTGGACTCCTATATATATGGAAGAGTACAGCATTAAACTTCGATGAAACAAAAAGCACTATTTAAAGAAGAAATTAATTTCACAGAATTTAAAACTAAATAAATTGATTTCACAGTTTTTTGATTTTTCCTGACAGTAGTATTGGAAATCGGGTTAATAAGGCCAAGATTTCTCATTAAATCATTGTTCGTGAACAGTCATGGTAATTTAGCTGAGATAAATATATACGGGTTCAGAGTACTGTTCCTCGAAAAAACGGAAAATTATTTCATATGACGGTGTCAGCACTTTGTTTCCTTACGTCCAAGGTCAGCGAAAGTTCGTGAATCCTTTTTATCATATGACACTGTCACTATAATTTTTTCTCAACTAAGTGACAAATGGGTTTGTTACCCTACATACTGTTGGAAAACTCCGCAGACTTTTCAACTTTAGAATAAACTGACGAATTTCATAAATTTCATATTGTTGGGTACCACAAGAAATGAATATGCACGTAAATTGTATATTTTCTCAATTAAAACCCTCATTCGGAATTCGTTCTAAATTTTTCTGCAAATTTCATTTCGAAGTCCTTGATAGTTTATTTTCTGCCTAAATATCATAAAGTATATTCATTTCTTGTGTTATCCAACAATATGCCATTCTTGGTTTGACTGCGTACTGGAACAAGTACAAAGAATTAACGAGATATATACTTCGTAATGTATCGGCATCTTATCATTTGCATCATTCTTTTAGAAAGCTTTCTTAATTTCTGTTGCCGTTAATCTACAGAATTTTATCTTGCGATGCTGACACATAAATTGATGCTGTTGCTATAACCGACCACATATTTTGCTGGAACTCAATTAAATATTATGACGAAAATATCGGTTTTTGTTATTGCTTCAGGATAATGATTCCCTAATCCTTCAGTACCGTGCCTTTGTTCGGATTAATAATTCAGTTACTAATCTATTTTGCGAAAATTGTATCAGACAATTTATCTGGTTGGAAACGCAAAATTCGGAGCTTGACAGTGCTTTTTAAATTTTCATTTGCGACCTTAAGTGCCAAAAATAGAAACTTTCTGTCTGTTGTTTCTCGTAATAAATTTATCTGGCAAATAATGTAAAATGGAATAAGTTGGTGTATGAAAAGAAACTAATTCTGTTAATTAACTAAAAGAGTTACTTGGAAAACTTCTACATCAATGGGAAAAAAAACAAAAATAACTTCGACATATTGTTGGAATACCTCTCGTCCCTTAGTTCAATAACTGAATTTTTCATTTCACTCAAGAGAAAAAATTTCGTTGTTCTAAAAATTGTGATTATCTGATATAAAGCATTTTGGTCATTTCCATGTTATTTAGTACCACAAACAGATTTATTCAAATTTGTTTCCCTATGGGTATACCAGACGTGTCACTCTCGATACAATAATTTTGAGTTCATATTTTTGTTTTTTTTATCCTTTAACTAATAAATTTTAAGGAAGGTGAACTTGGCTGTTTGTAGATTTAAAATTTTCAGGGCTTTGTTTAATAGGAGTGATTCACCTGTCGTTTTGTTTAAAAGCATTATTTCTAGAGGACGACGCAATGATATCTGTTTGGATCATACATTTCACTGTATTCGTGTACTTTGAATATGGGACCGGGAAATCTTGGAGTCGTTGTGATCTAATGCATCAGAAACATTGCTGCAATCCTCTTATCTACAACAATTGCTTCTAGAGGGTGCACTTTTTCATCATATCTTAATTTGGTGTCATTCACTGATCCTAATGAAATGTTATCACTCTGCAGGGTGTAAATATTTGTTGCGTAATAGATTGAAGTGAAGTTATACTTAAACATGAAATTGCATGAAAATGTTAAATATGAGCGTTTGAACTAAATTACCTTTTAGTGTCATCAATGGGCAACTCTAAACTGCCTCCGAGACAGAGTACAGCATAACCAAATTGTTACGGGTTCGATTGATATGAAAGTATCCTTTCTGTTTATTATTAATTATGAAAATGGCAGAAATGAAATGAAGAATAAAGCAAAAGGAATACCCATAAATGTGATGGTCTTTCTAATTTATTTAGCTATTCGAATTCTCATTTCAAATGCATGGTATTTTAAAAAATTTAGGTTAAAGTATGTTAGTCGTGCCGGGTTTAAGCATTCATCCGTTGTCGCAGTTTTTTAGCGTTGGTCTTTGAATGCTTGGTAAATCTCATTTTTCAGGTGTGTGGTACAGTTGATGCAGAATTTGCGCCATGTGTTCAGAAAGAGATTGCTGATCAAATTTTCTATGATTGTTGTAAATTATACATTAAACCGGAATGTCATGAACTGTGCCGATATGAAACAAATCGAGATATGGCCCAATTACTTGTATGTATATTACTTTTTAGTTTAATCCTTATTATTATACTAATACGTGACGACAATCACACCTTCCTTTTTTTGCATCTAGTCACCTTATCACCATCACCTTATCACCACAAACATCTGCACAACTTGACGCTGTTTTCTCTAGATAGAAAAGGAAAATGGCCATTCAAACGATAATAAAAGATATAAAGTATTTGAACGTTTCAGCTTTTTTTTCAATGTACTACTATACATGACCGCTTTCAGTTGTTGGAAATATTTCATACGAAGAAATGTTCCCTGGATAATGTACCTGCTGTATTATATTGTGCATCCCAAAATCGAGACAATCGGTTATGTTGCAGACAGTTTGGTTTAACATCAGGGAAACTTGGTGTTCGTCGGGAATTCCTACGAATGTGTGATCCATTTCATTTTTATATTCCCATGCTACGGGACTATGATTTTGTTTGTCTAAGTAACTGGAATATCATTATGTATTGTCATCACGGTGGACTCATGTACTAGAAAAAACATGACATTTTTGAATTTCTTTGATATGTAAATTATCTCATCTTTCACTTATCGATACCATCAGCAATGATGTAAAGTAGAACTGTTACAAAACAAAGGTGACAAGCTGCAACCAGCGCTGTCGTGTATAATGAGTTCTACAACTTTCTTTTACACTTCTCACTTTTTATTCTCCTCACAACTAACTTTTTTTGAATCTTGTGATCTTTTTTATTGTTATTGTTAATTTACCAGAGAAACTACCGGAAGTTGAACCGTACTTGCAACCCACTACTTACATGAAAGCTGAGATAGCAGAAGATACTTTGAAAAGTTATGCAATATGATATGATGTATGGAAAACCGGTCCAGTTCAAAAATATCTTTTACAATAAAACGAATATCTCTTAGTTAAACATCCAAAACATGAGATAATTTCCAACTCAATTCACAACTATACGCTTAGTTTATTTACTTTTCACTTCAACAGATGCCATCACGGATTTCGTGTTGTCGCTTTTAATAATTGAGAAAAAGGTTGGTAATGACTGATTTACTTTTTCTCTCACACACGGAGAGCGAAGACGTAAGTAAATTTTACACTTCCTGATTTGTGGAAGGGAATTTCATGCAAGAACATGTTTATTATTGTACCCAGAAGTTCGACGGGCAATCTCAGCGAAATTATCAGTAATTCTTTTATCTCAGTTTGAACAATGATTCATGAAATGAAATTAGAATTAGATCATATGTGGTTAGTAGCCAAACCACCGTATTATAAGAAAAGGACATTTTGACTATTGATTCGAATTTTTGCGGGCTCTCTGAATTTAGAAATTCCATATGGATTGTCCTTTCCCCGGTCTTAGATGGTATCAGTTTCCATAACTATGACTAACTACTTGATGACCAATTTTTTGCTGAACGAGGATATGGATCTGATTTTTAATACCTTCTCTCAGATTCATCTTGTTCCCTTGCTGTCAGATATGCTTCAATATTTTTTTTTCGGAGAAATTTCTAGTCAGGAAAGTATGGTTTGTTAGCAGTATCGTCCTAAGATATCAGTTAAGTTTTAAATACAAATGATCTTATTGTAACATATAATAAAGTTAATGAGTTTGATTTCGTGAATTTATATATTAATTAATTGAGATGATTAAACTAGTTATATGTATATGCTTATCAAGCATATACATACTTTTGTGCTAATTGGGATATTTCAATATGCAAAATCAAAATCCTCTACTTCTACTTCCTTTTATATGAATACTTGGAATCATCGTTTCATCATTTCCCCATCCATAACAAACAACACACTGCGCAACAAAGATTTGTCACTTTGAATTTCTATCAATAAGGCTGTTAAATTGCTGACACATAAATGTACGGGCGCAATCCACATATGCATGTGCACAAACATGTAATTGTCTGCATGGTACCTATTGATATGCATGCATATTTGTCTGCATGGTACCTATTGGTATGCACGCATATTTGACCTATTAACTCAGGTCTTTTCAACTTAGATCAACCGATATAGGATTAGCTTATTAAATAGTGTGTTTGACTGTCAGGATTAGCTTACTAAACAGGTGTCTGATTGGTTCATTATAATTAGCACCTTGCTTTCGTCACCGCTCTTTCAAGGATTAAAAAGAAATTGTTTCACCTGTTTTTTTTCGTAGAAAAAATATGACGGTTTCGTATGAAAAAGAACTGTTTTTCAATTCTTGAAACAATGGAAAATTTCCAGTTCAAATTTTGAAATATCAGATGGCTCATTTTATGACGGCTCATTCAAAACTTTTTCATTTGTGAAGAGGAGTAATTGAAAATTAATAGGATGGTTTGAATGAAAAACTTTCACTCCAGTATTTTATATTTATCTCTTCATTATATGTTTTACACCAGCTAGAATTTCCATTGTATCCTGAATATCACTTTTCAATATTATTCGATTAATTAGACAGAAAACCACAAATTTATATCAAGAAATCTGAACAATGCGACATTCCATGACTCACTGGTGAACTGATGACCTCATGATGTTGCTTAATAAATGAAACTTCTGGGAGGTTTCTGATTTAGAATTCATTTTCCGAAAACAAAAAGGAATACTTCATTGGATGAATCCATCTTGGTGCGAAATTGGCTCCCAATATATTCGCTTATCTTTCTTAGTTTTTCTGTTGCTGTTGTGGTAGCACGATGGTGGGAACAATTCAATTATATCAGTTGGCCTGATAAGTTAATGATGATGGTAGCAACATGTTTATCTGATGATCACAATTTGGCTGTTCGGCAAGTTATTGCGAAATGGTTTAGCTTACAGGTTTGTTCTGAAAAAACTAATCTAAAATTGTCATGGTCATGGACACTGCCATAAATGAGCTAAAACACTGTTTCTACGAGATATTTTGCTACCACAACAAGTAGCAATAATTCATCAGTATGAAATGCATGAAAGGTGTTAGTTGAGACAGCTATTGATTGATCTGGAATATCAGTTCGTACCCTAAAGTGATTCTCAACGAAACGACATTCAATGAAGGCTGATTTGATCATCAAAGAAAGTGCAAATATTTACAGGTGTAGAGACAAGACATGGTAAGTGGTAGGATTTAAATTCGAAAATTTGAAGTGGAGCTTTCAAATTGATGTATACCATGTGAAACGAAGCATAGCTCAAACTTACCCAAGTCAATAGCCATTACTTGCGAACGGAAGTTAATTTAGTAAAAAAACGTTTTATTGGTCAGTTGTCGATGCATTTTCGAAAAACTACATGATTTAATCATCAGGTTTGTACCGATATTGTAGACATCAAATTTGTTGAGAGCATTATATCGACAATAATGAATTGATTCCATGCAACTCAATATGCTAATGAAACAACTGAACTCGTTCAGTATGGTTTCGCCATGCTATTTATTTATGATTGGGTGAAGACATCTTTCGTTTATATACAGGTAAATTGCTCTAAAGGGAGAGGGGAAGATCAATGCATGTATTTTTTGGTTGGAGTAAGTTCGAGTTCAGAGTACAGTAAATCATAACAATCTTTTAACTCGTTCACCAAGAAATGACTTAACCACAAAACTTCTTCACAAGCTTTCAAGCCTTAAAGATAGTGGTAATAGTAATTTACAGATACTTCATGATTTGTTTGATGGCAACTGGATGACAAGCGAGAATTGATGAACATTCAATGAGAAAAGAAATATTTATATTGTTTTCAGTTTTTATAATCTTTCAAATACTCTTTTACATTGGATGGCTTAAAGATATCAAATGAATCTATCCAATGAAGGTGACGATGATTTACGTTTTTCCCTTTAATAATACTGTTAAGCTTTAATAACACTGTAAAACTACCTTCATTAATCCAATGAATGGCTCAAATTACTGATTCCTGTGCCGCTTATCACTCTTTCCTCATCCAATACATCATAGAATGACTGCAGTGTGTTAAGATGAAAAGGATGGAATAATAATGATATTGACAAGCCTGTTTGTATTTCACTTGAACCAGTAATATAATGTATTTGCTAATTATATAGGTATCTTAAGTGGTAAGCTAAAGGACTTCTAAATAATTAAAATGAAAAATGATAGGATGCGACTCTCTGCGTGAAGACTTTAGATATGCCAAAACAAAAGTTTGGTTGAACAACTGCTGTCGTCAGTTAGAATTTATCCTTCGAGGAATATCAAAAATAAAATTAACAGCTCGTAAATTTCCCAGTAATCTGGTAAGATAAAAGTTACTTGCTGAATGGTAAATCAAATAGTTAAAAAAAAGGGAGAAATTGGAATGTCATCAATTAGTGTATCCTCGATCCCATATGGACCGCACTCCGGATATGACGCAGTTTCATACAGGACAGGGCATTAAAAAGAACAGTGGGTCCAATAGAGGAGGGAAGGGTACTGGAAAGCTGTACCCGCTACCGTATCCTCTCGGATGATACCGTACGACAGTGGAGGGATTCGTTCTCGACAGCTTTTTCCCACCCTTTCAGCTATTTACAATTTGATTGTCATTTGCACTAATTGATGACCGTTCAAAAATTTGGCCGTTTCTTCTCTTTCTCTCTTGGTAATTCTTTTCATGGGCGTCTCTATCGGAGTGAACGTTCCCTCTTCCAGCAGCTGCCACTTAATGACCCGATAGTGATCCAGACCTCAACCTTGACTCTAATTCTGATTCCAGTTCTTGATATGTAATCGATCATTCAAGTGCTTTCTTCCATATTTATGTAAATTAGAGAAGCTAATTATGTAAATTAGAGAAGCTAACTAGGAATTACTACATATTGCATATGGAAGTGTTGCAATTGAGTTGTTATTCGTCTGATAAGTTCCCAGAGATGTTCAGATTCCGGACGACACCTAGTAATTTACCGAAATGTTCCTCGGGATACCAGGTCTGAATAAGTTCGTCTCAAGTATTACCATTTCACAACTCGATGACTTACCCGGTAAGTTACTTACGATTTTTTAACAAATTTAAATTGATTCGATAAAAACTCATGCAGTGAAAAGGCATTATCAGTAGACATCAGGCTTATCTGATGGAATGTCACTAAGGTATCTGCTTTGTTTCTGAAGTTACGCTAGCCCGTTGCTTTAAATAAGTGATGATAAAATTGGAACTAACTAATAATTGCTGACTCATGCAATCGACGGCATTGTGGAGGGATATCTTCTATTTGCTGTTTGCTATTTTTTATTATGCTCTTTCGATTAATTTATTGATTCTATACTATTGCCATGTTTATGATAAGGTAAAGCATATTAGGTTAATTGCATTTTCCAAGCAAGAAGATGAAAAGCCTTCTGGATTAATGATTCTCAGAAAGCGATAAACGGTAGAACTGAGAGGAAAAACGAAGACATCACAGAATGAGTGTGTCAGAAGTGATAGAAATATAGTTAAAACACAGAAGTACTGAACAATACAGTTACAGATCATATTGAACACTGACTTGGTTTTCGAAGATCAAGCGATTGTTTGTGTGATATTTCAGATCGCTGCAATTATTTTTACACTGTGTTGGCGCTATTGTTTTTCTCACTGCTTATCGGTACCAAACAGCATTTCGGTTCGCCCATTCGTTGCCTTGTCGATCGACAATATTCAGGTTGATTCGTGACTTTTTTCGGTTATCGTGAGATTTATTGCTTCATAAGCGCTTTTTGCACCGTATTCTGCAATTCGTTGCTTCGAGTAACAGCGTCTGCACATCTCACCAAGTAATGAAATGTGACAATTTCAAGTTTTTAGTTCATCAGAAGTGTACAGTATTTTTTCTTTTTATTTGTATTTGTTCTGAGAATTATGAGTTTAAGCCGAAAAGAAGTGAAAGAAGGCGTTCATTTTTCATAGATGAAGTTCGGTGCCATAATTCTGTTCTTAGGCTCTTGGATTGGTTATGTACATGATTATTGCTTTATATCGGAACGTTATTCGCTAACGCCACCTGAATATGAAGCAGATGAAATTGCCGTTTTCGACCCAACACATGAGAAAAAGTATGAAAATTATTACCAGGTAAAATTTGATGTGTTGAACAACATTTAGTCTTTAGTGATTGTGGTTATGCTAGTAAACAGATTTTCCGGTGGTGAGCTGGAAACAATGCTTTCAAAACAATGGAAAAAAAAATGCTTTCTCTTTACTTCCAAAGTGTGAAAAGGGAAAAGACCAGTAATTCTCACCAAACTTCCACATCCAAACTTTGAAATAATAGAAAAGATGTCCCTCATCGCATTTTTTTTGTCCTCTGTTTATAAATATTTTTTATAGCACTGGACTTCATGTTTTAAAATAACCTGTGCATCGAACTATCATTTTGATGTATAGATCAACGACTTATTTAGATAAGATGTGTGGAATTGTAACCATTGAAAAAGATTAATCTAATAAGGGCGACGAAGTAATTGCAGAATTCCTTACTTTTTATTGCAGTGGGTGCCGTTTCTTTTGGCTGCTCAAGCGTTATCCTTTTATCTGCCGCATTTTTTATGGAGATGGTTTCAAAAATTAAGCAGTAAGTTTCATAAATATTGGTGCAGAAGTACTTTAGATTATTTCTTCCGCAGAGTTGTTACTACTTTTTTTAAATTGAAATAATTTTTTTTGTTCCTAGTTGATGAAACATTCGACTTTCTAAAAATCTAAAAAACTTTTTTCAAAAGAGGACAGAAACTATTTATGTGAGAAATTTTCGTATTACTACTTTGGAATTGCAGTTAATTTCTTCTAAACTAACCAGAATTTCGAGAATGGCCATCAAAAATGCCAGTATTGAAAGTTCTTTCTCATACAGATTTGGATATGGCTATCGTAGTAGATGAAACAATTCGAATATACCATATGTTCGTAGATGAACGTAATAAAGCTGTGGAAGATTTGGTGCGATATCTTGAACAAGTAGGGCTTTTTTCTAGGAAATGTTGCTCTTATCTTTATTGCTACCAAGTAATATGCTCTATGGTATGTGTTCTGTTCATTGTTCGTTCTGTAAAGAATCGTGTTAAACTTGGTTTCAACTGTTAGACAGTAGTATCGATGGTGTTAACTATCGTTTGACTACTATTATATTTTAGGGTTCTGCTATACATTTTCTTTTCTCTGTGTTATGAATAAATAATGTAGTGTGTAAAATAGGCAGTAGTCAGTTCGAAGGAGGGAGTTGAATCATAGATGAACGGACTCATAGAGGTCTGAATTTTCTATTATTGGAATCTTGATTAGTCCTATTCAGTGCTTTTGTCACTGGTGATTTCAATGTGTGGGTGGAATGCTTCAGAAAGTGACTCAGTATTCTGGTTCCAAAGTCATTTATTCTAATCTGTTCGTTGCATAAGCTTTTGATGGTTCACACCATCCGATACTAGAAAGCAGTAGATAGCATATTCTTAATGCTTGAAACTTCGAGAATGTGCTTTACTATATTTTGAGTAAAGCATCGTGGACAATACTATTCAAAATCATGCATTTTCTTTGTCAATATATATCCGTGCACTGGAAATGTTACAGTGCATTGTTTATCCAGTTCGGCGTTCCATTTTCATGAACTTCACCCGGATTACTCTTGTTGGCTGGTATTCATCGCTCGTTTACGTGTTTGAAAAGTTGTTAAATACCGCAAACACAGTCTTGCAGCTTTATGTCATGAATACATTTGTAGGTGATGGCACACTACTTTGGGGATATCAGGTTTATTTGCTTCGTTAATTAAGAAAACCACTAATTGCACTCTACTCATATTTTTTTACCCAAATGAATTCGTATTTTAATATTAGTAGTTTCTCCTCTTTATCGAACCGTATACATTACTAACATAAGGGATTATATTTTTTCCACTCTGTAAGCGTCAAATTCGTATTAAAGGAAATGGGAATTGAAGTGGATTCCATTTTAAAGCCTCACAGTCTACCAAAACCATAACTATTGTCTGAAAAGATTGTTTATCTGGAAAGAAAAATTATTTACGAAAGCAGCCAGCATTAATGACTACCTTATATTTCGGATGTTAATTTCAGTACATTCCTAATCAAATCCTTTTGCAGCTACTCAAAAATCTCTGGATGGGGCAGGACTGGACGACCATTGGATATTTTCCGCGAGTGGTATATTGCGATTATATGAGGCATGAATTGGCAAATGTTCAACGTAAAACAGTTCAATGTGCTCTTACAATAAACATACTCAATGAAAAGGTCCTTTAATTTCATAATGCAGACAGGATGTTTAGAAGAACAGCATGTCAATGACTGACTTATTAAGATGTCGTTGACATTGTTATCTATATTAATCTGTGGACCGATTAAGAGAAACATTTCTTTAAAAATGGTTGAATAGGTATTCGCAGTAATGTCTGCATGGTTGTTGCTACTGCTTGCGGTCAATGTTGTCAGCACAATTTATACAGTCATCATATTGTTCTTACCAACACTTCGTGAACGTTCTGCATCAGATTATCTAGAGGTTTGACTATACTTTGTTTTCAAAAGTGCATAATTTTTAGCCATCATCATCATCATCTTTAATACTTAATAAATGTTCTTGAGACTATAGTACATATTAGGTTTTAAACTTCTGGAAGGAGCCAAAGCATCAATAGGTAAAAACACGGAACGTTATTGTGTGTTATAGGCCAAGTGCATGCTTGATGGCAGATGCGAAATTTGGAGATCTGAATAGGCGACTGATGAAAAAACTTTGCTAAAATGCTTTTGTGAATGATTTGCAGTTCTGTTGATCCCATTAACAATTTTAAAACAACAAATGTTTTGAAGTTTTTCCTAGCTTATAGCTGAGGATTTTTAGATTGTCGCTTTGCAAAATCCTATGTATACAGTGAATTGCACAGTTAAGACGCAGCATAGCTGCAGGAATGTTTTTAAGACATTTTAGGCTTTCGTTTGCAGAGAAGAACCGCTCGCTCATAATCTATCTGATAATGGTGAGTTTTTATGGATTTAAATAGTGATTGAAACTTTTTTGATTTTTTATTTCAGTATTTTCTCTGGTTTTTCCGGTGCGATTTCTTCGGAAACTGTGCAGAAGAAGGTTTACTTCTATCTCTAACTATAAATGACTTCATTCAGTTAAACGCAATGTATTTTGTTTTTGTGTTGAGGTTTAAATTTCTTTGACAAATTTTTGGTGAATTTTAGGTCAAGTCTCATCTATGTCTTTTAGGCAGAAGTCGTTTTGTATGCTAGAAAATGTTTAGAAAATATAGGAAATTACTTTTTATGTTTGCGTTGATTTTTCTCTAAAAATGTTCCTTTCGCAGATAAGGATAAAAGAAGCATTTTAAAACAGCTAAAGCATTGCTTGTAATTTGCAAATTTTTAGCGGCAACCGCTAAAAAAAACTGCTCTCCACTACTGCTAGATCTGATTTACCGTGCTTTGTTCGGCGATTGCTACTCTTCGCAGAACTCTTTGCATTCTTCGAATTCTTGATGATGCTAGTTACAGCACTGAATTACAGGATCAGACTACTAGTCAGATTCTCGCTTTCCCCTTTGATCCTTCTCGTTTGCGGATGTAATTTCAAACATCTGATATGTAATTCCAAGCGTACTACCCCTGATGTTTTTTGCTTTTAATTGGACATAGTAAAAATTTTTTCTTCATCTTTCGAGGTAATATCGGTTATTATGATAGAACGGTTTTTGATAAGGTTCACTGATTTGATTATATTATTTTTCATAATTTCTAACAATATCGGTTAGTATGATAGAACGGTTTTTGATAAGGTTCACTGATTTGATTATATTATTTTTCATAATTTTTAAAGTTAAAAGATTTTGTTCAGATGGTGATTTCTGCGAGAACGAGTTATTTGAGTATCATCTATCAAACGTTAGAAGCGCTTCATTTCATTCCAGAATCAGGTAAGGAAGAAAAAAATTTTTTTTTTCTGATCTTTGAATCAGCAACTTCAATCAGCAGAGTACTTTAAAAGAGTATTTTAGACGTCGTATATGTGCAACAGTTGAATATGGCGAAAATGTTAACTTAGAGAATGAGAAAACGCGGGAATCTGAAGAAGAAAAGCAAGAAATTTTTCATCGACGACTTATATTATTAGCACGTAATTTTTAAACACATTTCTTGCAGATTCGATGTAAATAATAGTGTTTTTATTTGGGCCCAATAAGAAGACTTTAAATCTAGAAAGAAATGGTCTCAAAATTATCCCACCTTCCTAAATCCTTCACTCTGTTGTCCAGGTATTTGCTAAGCAAACCCTCATTCCTCCTGCACTGAGAGTGTTGGACTATTTTCTGTTATTTTCAGTACATTATACATTCTACATTCTACACCGTCATTCTACATCTGTTAAGGAAGCGTCGTATTTTTCATTCATCTGGTACGTAAAACAAACATAAAAATTAAGGTGTTTTATTGAGTATATCGGTTTTAGGTAAAAATAAGCACCTCCTACATAATTTTGTTTGCGAAGCAATACATCCGGATAGTATTCTTCTATTGCGTTTCATGCATTCTCATGCGGGTAGGATGGTTACATCTAATATTGTGTTTGCACTTTGGGCACATTATGTGATAGCGAAGGAGTCAAGAAGACGCAAGTACCAACCGAAAGCTGTGGATGACATTGCATCTGGTAAGTTTGTTTAAAAAAATTAACGAATAATAAAATGGCACGCTGTAAGGACAAGGTAGTTATGAAATATATGCTCTGTTACATGTAAGTTAAATTTTGCAACAGAACATCAAGAAGTTTATTTGCTAATAGCGATGTTCGTTTAGAAGAATATCATTATTGTTCAGTTTTCTTCACCTTCTTTCTTATAAAGTAAATTGATCTTTGTAAATGACATGCTTCTTGCGCTGTAATGGCAATTAATTTTACAATCGGGGAAATGTTTTTCTAATTTGTTTCCTGATTTTTTTCGTCCATAATAATTACTGAGTTTTTTGATCTTTACCACTTTGTTTAAGAAATCTTTCCAGATTTTTTCATGGGACATAGCATACTCTCGTTTTTAATTTCTTTCAATGATACTTAATAGTTGTTTCACTTCGGAAGCACGTGATTTTTTTTGTGTTGAGTTTCTACTGGCATCTATCTCCTTTTTTTATGTCATAGTTCTTCTTACCATTATATTACTATTTTTGGAACAAAGTACTATTTTTTTTCTTTTTTTGTGTTTTATTGTTGAACAGATTATTGCAATTATCAATTAAACGGCTATTGTCCTTTCTGAGTTTGTTGCTTCCAGGAGCATCAGCCAGGGAAAAAAACATAACAGGACTGAATGGTAACAGATGTTTTAATATGTCTTCCTCGAAAAATGACTCAACAATTATGGACGCTAGTCCTCTTTTGAAATCAAACGAAGAGTATGCACAGGTGGTGAGTTTTCCACGTTTGTCGTCAAAGAAAAAGGGTTGTAATGCTTATAACACCCGAGCGAAGATTTCTTCAAAAAATTTAACAGAACGTGTTTGTTGTATTGTTTTAATGATTCTTTTCTATCGGTTCTTCCTGGTAGTGCCTGGGAAATAAAACAATAATTTTCTGTTTCCAAAGAAATCTTTTTAGCTATCGTTGAATATACTGCTATTCCAAAAGAGCAAACTTCCACAAAACGTGTTTTGAAATACTATAGAACTATCGGAAAATGACTCATATGATATGTTTCCTAGAACAACCATGCGTTGTTATCAACATTTTATATGGTCGCATGGCCTAATGAGGTTGCGAGCTGTGGTAATGGTGACTTATATACTTGATTTATAGGTGACTTATAGGATTTCCCACGCCAGACAGGTTTCAACCGAAAGGTTAGATAAAGTGTGTCTATGGGCAGGATGGGCTCGCTAACCTTCCGTCAACCATCCCAGCAGAAGGACAGCTTCAACGCCAAACTCGGATAGAGAAACTCGTTTAGTCCTAAAGGCCATCCATCTCAGAGAAGGATACTCTAAAACAAAACCGACATCCTGAGAACTTTATGTCATCTTCCAGCTCGCTAAATTCTGGCAGATGAACCTTAGGAGTAAAGAGTGGGGCCAGTTTTGCTCATGCTGTGTTTCACCTAAAAAATTCATTGCGAAGGAAGTATACACCTACATTTGTTGCGTTTGCAGCAAGCGTGGATAGAGCCTTTCCCAAATCTTCATTCATTCGTGAAACCCAGTCACGATGAATGGTCGCAAAGTATTTATGTATTATGTTAGGATTTTCCAGTTTTAGAATCTTTTGCAGATTGATTCTGTGGTTTTGTGTCCGTCTACAGTGTGCTCGTAAGTTTTGTTTCAGTTTCTTCTTTTGCTAATCTAAGCAGTTCCAGTTAATTCGAGTCAGAAACGAATTTTAACTAGTTTGTTAATATTATAGGCACTTATTGTAATTTTTTGTTATTGCACACAGCAGTGATTTCCAGAGGCCGAAGTGTGTTAGCGAAAAAAATTGGCAATTGAAGAAGCAGACGATTGGTGATGTATCTAATCAATGAACGTTTCCTTTTGTGAAATCGTTTGAGTATTTTCTTTTTTTTCGGTTTAACTTCATCAGATTTTTATCACTCTTTGCGTTCAAAATTTCTATATTTCCTTTTCTGCAGCTAACGACACTTGTTCGTTGGATTAGTGCTCAGATCAGTGGAGCTCTGACGGACGTTTTGACATCTGATATCGCGCCTTGGTAAGACGAAAGAGGGATGAACTTTTATTATGATCTTTCACTTTTCGATAATTATGTCCCTTCACCCGTGTTGTGTTCCAATCTAGTGCTATTATTATTCTGTGCAATCCACTGGCAGTTCTGATTGTCGATGCTTTAGGTTATCCGTTTTTCAGTGGCAGCATTCAGATTTGCCATTCAAACTTCCGAATACGTAAGAGTTGATATTTCTTAAAAAATAGCAAGTATTACTGCTGACATAATAACTGGATGAGATGTTAACATAAGAAAAATAAATAAATTTGAATCACATAAGAACTTTGGATGCAGGCAGGTTTACGGAAGCCATTTTCTAGAAATTTTATCACAGCCGAGAATAATGAGCAGATGTTGGTGCTCTTGTATGAGGCATATATGTTGAGCTGTTCCTACTATTTTTATTTTCAATAGCTAATTCTTGTTTACAAATTTTTTTATTTTAGAAAAAAAAATATTTAAAGGCAGTTTTGCTATTAGGTCATCCTTTTGCTTTGTACTGGTGTGAGCAGTGGAGATAGGAATTCCTTTCTCGAACCTTCGTTTCGCGTTCTATACTCAACTAGATGGTATTTTCAGCATTCTTTGCCTACTGTTATCTGTCTGACCGTTTCTTCTCATCTTGCAATTTCACTTTTTTTTTTATTCTCAACACATAAATTTGTCATCTTAAATTTATTTCCAGCGCATAAATTTGTCACCTTAAATATCAACATTGTGCACGTATCTCCCAGGGAAGACCTCATTTATTGCAGTTAAAAATCACAGACAAACTTACTGAAATGAAAAAGAAAGCTTGTTTAGCTAGTTTGGAAATTTGATGGTTTGAAACCTTCGAATAATATTTCATGCTAATTGTATTTGTCTCAGCTTCTTCCAGTTATATTCTTATATTTTGATTTCATTTATATTTAACGCCGTCCAACTCTCAACTGTTTTGTGAAGATTACATAGAACAGATTTTGATTTGTATTGCATATACTTTTTGAAACTTGTATTCTAAATAACACGCGGTGATATGTACCTACGCCATTTATCAATGATTACATACAATACGTTTCGATAGACAAAAGGATAAAGCTATGAAATAAGTCTTACTTAAAATAGGAAGTGTACCAACGACTAGCGAAAAAGCATACATGTATAATGCATGTCAACGTGATGGAATGCTTTGCCAACTTTCCTTTTCTTTTAGTTAGATGAGTAGATTCGATTATAAATGATCGGCAAGTGGGCGGTTGTTTTGATATGAAACTATGCCTGTCGAACTGTTAAAATTGATAGGTACCACACATTATTCTTTTTATCATGTAGGTTTGTTTATGACCTGTATGTTTTCACTGATTTTTTCTTTAATTTTGACTTCATATAATCAGCCCTATAACTGCAGTTATCTATCATGACCACTTCAGTTTCAAATGTGTCTGTTAGATACTTGCTAGCAATCTTTTTTAGAATAAAATTAAAGTTTTTGCAAAATTGTTCTCTTGGTTAGCAGATGTTTTATCACAGGTTGGATATTTCTTTGCTGCTGTGACCTTCCTCTTTTTCTTATACTTTCTAAGAGTTTCTGGAGTTTCGCATTATTTCTGTGAGATGAACGAGTCGGATAATGGAAAAGTTCATCTTTCTCTAACAAAGGAATTAGTAATTACCTGGCGGTTTTAGCGGCGATGTGTAAGTTCCTATAAAAGTGTATGGTTCGAATATTTTTGTTCTCATCGATATTGAATTTTCTTTTTTATTTCCAAAAAACATTCTTTTTCAGCTAGTGAAGTCCTCCGTGATTAATTCTGTTTTGGTTGGAAGAACTGTTGTTAGTGACGAACAAGCAAACTTTTTTTGAGTAGGTTCCCGGGAATTCTTGAAGCAACGCAAAGATGCCGGGTTCTCAAAATACACCTGTCCTAGCAGGGAACAGTAATAATAGCTATTCTATATTGGATGGTAGTGATTCACAGAATGCAGATGTGATGGATTTCGATGATGGTTCCGGTCCAGCAGATCCACGATTGGAAAAGCAACAGCAACAGTTATTGCATGCCGATTTTTATAATGATTTTGGTGACTTGTTCGATAATGTTAAAGTTTGAAATCAAAAATTTCCTATTCAAATATTTATGATGAGGATGTAGTGAGTGTCATTGGAATTTTGCATGACTGCCAGGAGATTATTATTTCAGCAACTTTTCCTTTTTTTTTTCATCTACATCATTTTTAACAGCTATGAGAATATTGATACTCGTTTTGTAATCCATTCTTCTGTTTCCTGATGCACATTAGTAAGCTGTATGAAGTTTTGGGATTATGATTAACTTAGTATGAGAAGTATTTTCTGAGCTGTAATAATTTGATGCCATGTGCTCTTGAGCATCTTTAGATCATTTGATAATGCGGTATCTACGTTCTGGTTATTTCACGTTTATTGGATTTGCGTTTATATATATATATATATATATATATATATATATATATATATATATATATATATATATATATATATATATATATATATATATATATATATATATATATATATATATATATATA